ATGCTAGTTACACCAAACTGACAGGGGATCTCCGGCTGACTCTCCTCTACCTGCCCTCCAACGTTTGTGGGGATTTGATTTATGGGGTCTGAATTATGGGTCCCCCAAAGAAAGTGCCCCCCAGGAAAGTGCTTTCTGGGGATATGACCACCTGGGGGCACCTTCTTTAGGGGGCTGTAACTCAGACCTCATAAATCCATCCTCAACAAACTTGGAGGGCAGGTACAGGAGAGTCAGCTGAAGATCCCCTGCAAGTTTGGTGTTTCTCTAGCTTGCACGGGATCCAGTCTATACACTCCTGAACCTGCACCTGTCAAAATGACTGCTGTGGTCATTTTGACAGGTGCAGGTTCAGGAGGTTCAGGAGTGTATAGAAAGGATCTTGTGCAAGCTAGAGACACCAAACTCATGGGAGATTTATAAGTGCATCCAGGGAGGTCCCCTATGAGTTTGGTGTCTCTAGGTTGCACAGGATCCATTCTGTACACTCCTTAACCTCCTAAACCTGCACCTGTCAAAATGACTACAACAGTCATTTTGACAGGTGCAGGTTCAGGAGGAGTGTTCCCTCTAAGCTGAGTTAGTGTGAGCTAGCTCACAGGTTTTTAGCCTCCAGATCACACATTTTTGTCTTAGCTCAGGAAGGATGGCTCCAGAGCAAACTAATTTATGCAGTAGCCAAATCACTCTCTCACAACTGTAATGGCATTAGCTCACAAAGTAGATTTTTTGCTCACAAGACTTCACAGCTTAGAGGGAGCATTGGAGTGTATACAATGGATCTTGTGCAAGCTAGAGACACCAAACTCACAGGAGATATAGAAGTGCATCGGGGGAGGTCCCCTATGCTTTTGGTGTCTCTAGCTTGCACAGGATCCATTCTATATACTACTGAACCTCCTGAACCTGTGCCTGTCAAAATGACCACTTTGCTTATTTTGACTGGTGCAGGTTCAGGAGATTCAGAAGTATATAGAACAGATCCCGTGCAAGCTAGAGACATCAAAGTCATAGTGGACCTCCCCTGGATGCTTCTCTACATGCCTCCCAGTTGCTGCTTTGATGTAGAGCAGACAGTCTGACAGGAAATGTATCCACTCATGAACCAGCGCAAACTTCCACAAACAACTTGAAAGTCTGGTTGACCTGCCATAAACTTGACTTGACGAAGTATGAACCAGCCATATTTCATCAAGAACTTTAGTTTGTGAGCTGGTTAGTGCCCATCCCTACTAATGTTAATGCTCAATTTCACTTGGGGGGGAGAGCAGGGAAAACTAAAGAAATGACTGCCTTACATCTTCTTCCCAACAGCAGACTGGTGGAAGCCAGGATGTTCATGTCACCAAATCCTGAAGAGGTAATCATCTGAAAAGGTACAGTTCAAGTAGCCTCCCTCCCATCATCTCAGGATCTACCTATACCACTCTGCTCTGACTCCAAAAGGACAGATCTGAGCCTGAGAGCTCATGTCATCAGCTCCCAAAAAGAATACCAATGACTGGGGAGAATTCTGATATTTTTGTGTTTTGTCTTTGAAATTTTATTTTTGTATTCAAATTTTAAATTGTAATTTGCCTTGTGAACCTTGGAAGAATGGCAGTATACAAATATAGCAGTTAAATACAACTTTTCACAGCAGAATGGGATTTAATAATAATTATAATAATAACAACTGTGTGCCATCAACTCATAACCAAATCCTGGCAATCCCAGGATCATAGGGTCTACGCAACAGAGATAGTATGCTGTTGCCTTTCTCTGCATTGCAACCCCAGATTTTCTTGGTGTTCTCCCATCCAAGTTAAAACCACAACTTAGCTTCCAAGTGCTGATGAGATCAGGCTGTTCAGGGCTTTTCAGGGATTTAATGTCCAGAATTACAGTACAAGGCAGTTTGCTGTTATGACGGCCCAGTTCCCTGGTGTCTCTGATTTGTAGACAGGGCCCAATATTAGCCTGGTAAATTAAAAGACACACCATGCTCATGAGGTGTTAAAATGGCTATTACAGTGAAGCTGTTCCTGAAATGGAAATAGCTGATTGGAAAAGCTTTACCTGCCTAATGTCAGGCTGCTCTTAAAGGCACAGGGTCAGTATAAAGGCCAAAACCTTAGACTGAGCACACAGGACCTCTGTTTCCAGAAATACAAGAAATTCTTGATGAATTCAAGGATGAGCATCTACATTATGATTCATGTGCACAAGTGAAGAATATAGTGGACATCCTGTATCTTCCATCAGATTTGTGAAAACTAAAGTGGAATCAAATCAGAAGGACGGCTATAAGCATGGGCATTATGGAAGGCCCTCTCGTATCTGCATTTCCCAGACTGCATTAACTGTGGAGAACTTAGAACAATGCTAGTTACATAAAGCTCAATACCAGGGAACCCATCATATGTCTGGAGGAGGACAACTCATAACCTTTCTAATATGATGTTTAGTACTAGAGTATTTTTGTTGTACTTTTAATAGCAGCCCAGCACAGAGATATTTTCCCATCACTTATGTCCTTGCTGCCAGGAAAAAAATTGTTGAATATATTGTGTGTCAGACTGCTCCTAAAGACAAAGGAGCAGGACCAATAAAAAGGTGGTTGTCCTACTGATGCTTCATCGCACCTTTTTCATATTTTATCAGGCAAGTTGAAAAAGAAAAAGTGCTGTTTGAACAAAGTGAAGGTTTAGAAGAAGAGGGTTCCCCAAATTTTTTTTGAGCCTGTGAGCACCCTTGGAATTCTGACACAAGGTGGTGGGTGCAGCCACAAAATGGCTGCTGTGGAGAGTGGAGCCAGTTACAAAATGTCTGCTGGAGTAGGTGTAGACCATAAAAAATGGCTGTCACAGGAGGTGTAGCCACACACACACACAGAGAGAAAGAGCGAGAGAGAGAGAGAGAGTATCCAAGTACAAGGGAGATGAGGGGTAATTTTAAAAATACTCTGGAAAAGAGGAATGAGAGATAGAATAAAATCAACACTAGGTGGTAGCTGTTACCAAAGCAATGTTGTTTTAATCTGAACAGCCAATTAGATCTCCAATGGCCAATCAGAGACCATGCTAGGCAAGATCCCCACCTGGCCCTACCCATTATCTGAAGACATTTGGCAGGCACCAGGTAAGGTGTTGGCAGGAACCATGGCACCCATGGACACCTCATTGGGGGATCTCTGGTTTAGAAATTAAAAGCCATCCTGTTCCGAAGAAAAATGTAACGTAGGGAAGGAAAATATAAGGGTCCCATTTCACATGCAACCTCTGAAATAAACTGCAAAAGAAATGGATCTTCCGGTTAAGTACCATTAAGGGATGTAAGTAGTCTTATAGGCTTTAAGAACTTAGATTAAAGTGTGCAAGCTGTGAATTTTATGTCCTTAAATGTTCCCAAATGGAAATAATCAGAAGGAACAGTTTTTTCTAAATAAACAAATAACTCTAGATCAATTTATAACAATCCACTACAGTGAACCTGATGCAAAAGCATGTGTTTTCTTAAGGTTGCAAATGGAAGGACCTTGTATCCAACCATTTCCCCCCTAGTATTTATATGAAGAGACACAAAGTGAGTGAAATGATATCTTTTATTGGATAAACTTGGGGAAGTACAGGAATATATAAGCTTTTGAGTTTCACAGAACTCTTCATAAGGCAATTTTTTTCCTGACAAAGATTTCTGTGAAGTACACATGCTTCTACTGTTCCAATAAGAGTTATCATTCTTCTTTTATGTGTCTTCAGTTATTTAAGGCCAACATGGTAGTCACCATTTAACTCAATTGCTTTATTGATTAAGGCATGTACTCGGAGTGAATAAGAATTCCATTAGAGCTGAAGCAAAGTTGCACTCAAAGATTCTACTCCAAATGCTCTTCTGAAATGCTGATATTTTCATATTTGCTGAATATTCTATGAATAGTTGACATGTGACATCCACTGATATTTGGTTTTAATATCTGATATTTCAGATGCTATTTAGCACTGGACTATATTCAACAGTTTGCTACTAAAGATATAAATACACACTAGACAGCATTTGCTAGACAAGACACAACTCTATTTAGTAGCTGACAGCTGGTAAGGCTTCCTGTGTGAATGGGGGGGGGGGTCCAAAACCATCAACAGATGCCAATAAGGCTAAACTACTCACATTTCAAGTTTTGATTTTTTAAAAAAAATATATTCAAAGTTTGAATTGGAAATTCTCAGCACATTTTGGTTCAGCTCGATATGCAGCTGCCCTGATTCAGTAAGGAACTATACACATGTGAAAGCTGTCTGGATGGGAAAATCATGTTTGATTCCTACCTCTATTCAAAAGCCAGGGCTCCATGAATACAGTCTTTTTGTTTTAAAAAAGGTATCTCACCAGTCAGCTGCTGGGAGGGAGAGAGAAAGCAGAAGGCGGAATTGTCCCACCCCTTCTGTACTTTCTCTTGTCATGCTGAACAGCTGATCCGTAGGATCTCACCTTTTAAAGGAAAGCTGTTCCATGCATGCTTTGTTAGACGAGAACCAGAATATAAATCCCCATTTTGAATCCTTTGGCGAAGATATTTGCTGTAGTCAAATAAGAGTACTGTGAAACTCAATGTAAGAAATTATTATACATTGTTTTATGTTTCTTTATATAAAAAGTTACAGTTAGCAAGCATATGACACAAAGAAATGGATAGGAACAGCAGTAGTTATGAATGCATGCTTTTTACAATGTATCTCATCATTTTTTTTTTGCCAACTCAAACATTCAACAACACACATGCAGACCTGTTTCTGAGTGTCAGATTCCATTCTATGATTTGATTTATAGCCAACAAAAATTTCTACCCAAATTATGAATGATTAATTACCTGATTTAATAATTTGATTCCTGAAACTGGGTAATCTTTCCATCGTAACAAAACAAGACAAATAATAAATATAAAGAAAGAAATACTGATGAGAATAAATGATAGCAATGATAGTAGTAAGAGTCTTATTGCCATTCACTGATTTTACTCATTACTGATTGATGCTTTTTTTCATGAAATTGGAAAAGCTGGTCAGAGTCCAGAACACCTTTAGCTTGCAGTTCCAAGGCCGACATTTTCACAATTCACGGTAGAATATTCATAATCACCCAGGAGCGCACTATTTTCAAGCAGTCTACATAATGAAAACAAGTTCAATGTAAATAATCTTCTTGCATGGCACATACTACACAAACAGATTACAAGGACATTATGATGTCCAACTTGAATTCAACCTCAAACTCTGTACTCCCAAACAAATGTATCTGCAAGTATGTCCCACAGGAATCCGCCGGACTTAAGCTAGTTCACAATGGCGCTGGCATGCATGCATTATACCTCAGATTCTCCCTTATACCAGGCATGGAATGTTTGGCATGATACAATGCCTATGTATCTACGTACCATCCAATCAATTTACCTACTGCAAAAAGAGTGGATGGACTACGTGGGTAGACGTATTTGTATATGATTGTGCTCATGTTAATCTTGGTGCTGTCACTGATAAATAAGGTTGTACACACTGGTGGGGAGGAATGCATGCAGGTCTGTGACTTGCTATAAGGTTGGATCCAATCAGCTGTTCTTCTGGTGAAAGGGGGCAATAAGGTCCCTCTTTTACCACCCAAAATGCTGTGCTGAGGACCATGGGTCTTTAATAAACAAAGGCCATGTGAGACAGGCTGTTATAAAGAGGGGAATTAGATCAGTGAAAATCATGAGCATCTAATTGCTCAAGGATTAACAGTGCAAGTGATCCCATCGCCTCATTTGTAAGGCAAAAAAGGCTGGCACTAGGGCAATTAGTGACCTTAGTGGTGGAAATAGTTGAGAACGACATCAAGGACACTGCAATATACTTCGACAACATATTGATACTGATTGGATTGGCAGTGGGGAAGCTAACAGCAGTACCTTGCATGACAAAGGTGGGTGGAAAGGAAGTACAAAACTGGGGATGTGGCAACGCTTCTTACAGTTCTATTTGTATAATAGGACCAGGGATCCAGTGCAGTGTTGCAACCAGTGTTCCCTCTAAGATGAGTTAGTATGAGCTAGCTCACAGTATTTTACCCTCCAGATCACAAATTTTTGTCTTAGCTCAGGAAGGATGGCTCCAGAGCAAACTAATTTATGCAGTAGTCAAATCGCATGCTACCAACTTTAATGGCAGTAGCTCACAAAATGGAAATTTTGCTCATAAGACTTCACAGCTCAGAGGGAGCATTGGTTGCAACCATGGAACACTAATGATAAAATAGAAGTACCAAGTATCAAACCTATAGTCCAAACAGACTATGGGAGCTAAATAGCTTCAGTACATGGAAACAGAACTTTGCAGAAGCTCAGAGCCAGTAGACAATGGACAAGATAAACCTATAATATTCCTAAACATATTTTATTCTTCATGGTTCCAATCAAAGTCTCTTTCAGGTTATAGAACTCTCAGGTCCTGCTGAGTCAAAATATAAAAGAAACATATTTGGAAATATAGTGCTAAGTGAGAAATATTTGTAGTTGTTATGTGTGAGAAGTGGCACGTATTGCAAATCCACTCCTTCCCAACCAGAGGAAAGCACCAAACCTGAAGAATTTTGTTTCACCATGCCAATAGTTTGGAACCTACGCCTTGCTTTTACTCACACTGCACCTTTTCCCATGGTGCTGGTAGTTTTCCATGCAGAATGTGTTCCTCCTATCCTAGGAGCTCCCATCTGTGCTAGATAAGTATTTTGCAAGGAGCCAAAAAGCACCTTGAACCAGCAGCAAGCATTGTGCAGAGAAGGACCATCTCCACCATGAATGATAAGTAGAGCAAATGGAAGCAAGGCTTAGGATCCAAGCCAATGTTTGTACAAATTGTTCTTCTCTGAAATTAATAGCCAGCTGAATTAACCGCCTCCCCACAAAGGAAAATTAAAAGACTGATACAACTGCCTCACTTGATAAGAGCAATCATGTTTTAAGCATTTCTTTCCTAGACACTTTGTTAGAAATATAGGCATAGTTTTGAAAATATACACAAACACCAACCCAGTAATTTACAGTGCAATTCTAAGCAGAATTATATCCTTATAAATCCATTGACTTCAATGGACTTAGAAAGATGTGCTTCTGCTTTGGCCTGCACTGTTCAAGTGAGGCCTTAATGCATGCATGGGGTTTCTCTATTCCTTTCCATATGCTTAGCGTGCTCAACAGGAATGAACATGTGGAACTTAGCCCAACACTTAAAAGAGCAGATGTTTTAGCAAAGGTCCAGACATGCATCAGACTCATATGGAGCCTTGGATTCCAGTAGAAATATTATGTATTGAAAAAATTACCAACACAGAACCAGAATGCAGAGCCATTCGAGCAAAATATGATTATAGTCATTCAAACCTCTCAGAACAAAACAGTAATTAGAGCTACCAAAATGAAAACAAGGAGATTAAATTCTTACAGTCTAAATAGTTAGCCAACCCTGCTCTTGACACCATCAATTCTAAATCACAGTAGAGTAAAAGAACAGATGTTCTCACATCTTCATTTGACTAAGCATTTAGGTGGCATAAAACAAACAGCCTGATCCACAGCATTTGGTAGCAGAGAAAAACCTGGTTACCTGTGCTGCTCAAACAGCAGGGAGAAGGCATTATATGTGGACCCCAGCTGGGAATAGAAATTTATCTCCTGGCATTTACTCGACGGGTGGTTACTCCAGACAGAAACTCTTGGTTAGATATAGACTGAGCACATTGTTTGCTGCATCCAGTTCCTAGGAGCCATCCCTCCTAGCCCTATTCTAATGCGAGAAGTGAAATATTGGGTAGTAGCAGTCCCAGGGCAACATCACCTCATGGAAATCCATCACAGCCAGACAGGAAATACTGCAGAATGCGGAAAATGCTGGGCTTGGATTGTTTACATTGGCCTGTGAGTGTCTCAAACTTTATTGTTAACACTGAACAAGTTATTTCCCATGCAACGAATTCATAGTCAAGCTAAAATATGATGACCCTTTTTGCATCCCCCCGGGGCTGTCTGAAGGAAGACCAAGTTGAAAAAGAGACAGGTTGGTCGGCTGAGCTTCTCTGTACTCACACAATGGATCAGGCTGGAAGTTATTATCTACTAAAGCACTTTATACATCATTTCCATAAATAAAGGTGAATGGGTCATGCCAAGCATCTGTTTGAAACTCAAGCTTAAAATGTCAATAACCTTTAGCAAGATGTTATAGAGCAACTGAGGATTGTGATTTTTATGCATTTGTTGGTGTTATTGCAGCCCCTGCCTAGATTCTGAATTTCTTTTTTTCCTTACCACTAACTTGGCATGCAAAGATGCCAGCTACCTAGCACCATTCGCTTCACAATAATGCAAAACACAGAGACAAACACACCACAGATACGCACAAAGCAAATGACACACAGCTAGACAGTTTCAAAGAAAAAAAATGAATGGAATGCACACGATGGTGAGTTGGAAACTAGACATTTGTTCACTTACCTTCTGTTTGTCTTTTACACCCTAGTTGTGTTGTACTCTGATTCATGTTTGCTTAGAGACCCAATGAGGCAGAACCTGGAATGTTATGGCTATTTCATTCAACATAATAATGTTTGCATAGAAAAAGAAAGAAATATATGCATACACATTCTTAATTTAACATAACTTAAGAACTTGATTAACTCGTTCCAAATCACTTAAAACTGGCATGCAAGAGGACAGCAGTAAAGTTCTTGTTAAACTGATCAACCCTGGAAGTGTCTCACCAACAGATCCCATTTCAAGTGAGTGGCTTGAGGTATACAGAGTGCTTTGAGAGTCTGGGATACCCGGTAGCTTATATGTACAAAATGAAACATATGGGCACATGAACAGAACAGTAAAGACGTAGAGAAAGAACGCATGCATGTGAAACACAGATCCAGTTAAAAAGGGTTCTGGCTGCTTCCAAATAACTTGTACGAAATTGGATTGCGGTTTTCTTTTTGCCTTCAGCTTTCACTTGAACCTGTTTTAATCATTCTTAATTACAAGCATTCAAGAGGTTCTGGCTGCTTCCAAATAACTTGTACATAATTGGATTGCGGGGTTGTTGTTTTTTTGCCTTCAGCTGTCACTTGAACCTGTTTAATCATTCTTAATTACAAGCATTCAAGGTGCAATACACAGTAAGAGAATCCCTGTGTTTTTCTTTAAAATTGAAATCATGCCAGACTTTGGATGGTTATTGGATTAGAAAGTTTGTTCTCCACTATATATTTTTTTTCTTTCATAAGCAGGTCTAAAGTAATAGCAATCTAATGCAAATGTTAAAAAACCATTTTAGGTCCTAAAAGGTCAATAACTAAGATAAGAAGTGATGCTATTGTCAGTTACAAAAGTGATATTGTAATAGTTTGAAAATACTGTCATTTTTTAAATAGAAAACCATGTTCTACAAGAAAGGGAAGGATTTTATCTCCTTGAGCAGCTCATCTCCATGCTAGACAGAATGTCTGTGGCTTGGGGCTAGGGCAAAATGCAGGGTTACTTTTTGTTATATTGAAACCACATGCATCTTGATATTTCAAAGAAAATGCCATTAACTTTTAGCAAAAATGTCTTTGGTGTGGCTGAATGCAATTGCCCTTTCTTGTGTTTTTTTATCTTGATGAGATTAAAACAGTTTTTTTTTTAAAAAAGTAAAAAGATAATTTTGTGATTTTTATGAGGAATTAAAGGGAAAGGAAAGGAATAGAAAGGAAAAATAAGTAGAAAGAAAGAGATTAAAAAGTCCATTCACACAACTTGTTTTGACCTTACTTGCATCTATTCTGGGAAGGAATTCACAAGGCAAAATTATGGTGGAACCACGTGAGACCTGCTTGTTAATGATCCAGGAATATAAGTGAGGTTTCCAGAATATGTAGCTTTGAATTCTGGACAAAAATATTTCCATGCCTTTGCACAGGAACCCAATTATGGTAACTGCTCTGTGTAAATTCATCATAAGCTGTGTGAATGGATCCTAAGAAAAGGGGGGAAAATCATATATATAGTTGCCTGAACTCTAAATGTAAAGAGCAATTAGGGAAGAAAAAAGCACAAGGGAATACTTGGGATGGAACCAAGTCCTCACACAATAGTCTTCATCAAAAATCTATTGATACTGACCGCTGGACAGCTTTATCATGTCTGGAAAGCCTGTGACTCGTGGTTGGTACCTCTTCTATTTCATCTATCTCGCACGCATCTGCAGCATCTTGTGAGTAGCTATGTTTCATGACAAGAATATTTCTCCTGTTGATAGGCTGGATGAGAGGCTTTACAGGCTGGGGTTGAATGTCTGTCAAGATAGGCGTATCTCTTGTGCTGAGGTTACTACGGCTGCCCTTAGTGCTAGATAACTGTGATCCACAGTGGTGGTCATGAATGCATTTGGAAGATGATCTCCGCAGTTTATGATAGTTTTCAAAGTCATCTGCAACATCTGCAAGGTCCGCTGTTGCCCCTGTCCCTCTCAGAGTACATAACTCATAATGAGGAGGCTCAAACACCTCCTGAAATACTGTTTGATCAAAGTCTGATTTCCGCTGGACAAATTTTTTACGAGGTTGTTTGATCTGGACTATGACAGAGATAACAATAAGGAGGACCACGATACAAGAAGTGACCCCAATTACAGTTCCACTGGTATTGGTAAGCTGGTCCAAGAGGTTGGCTTTTCTCTTTTCTGTGTGGTGGACAAAAAAGAAGAAGCATAAAATTAATATCCTTTAGAAACACATGTAACTGTGATACTGTTCTGCTGGTCTAATCAAGTATATGAAAAAGAGTGAGAAATGCTACATGAAATACAATATTATAAAGACAGTATGATAATTTCTCTAGCCTGTAATTCTAAAGAGATAATTCTGGTTCAATATTAATCTTCTGCATAGAGTTACTAAATGGAAATTGCTGCTCACATACTCCTCTATAGTCTGGTTCATATGGTGGTATCTACAAATAGGGATGGCCCCACGAACCATGAACCAAAACGAACCTCAATTTTCCCAGTTCCTTCTGAGCTTGTGAAACATTAACTGACAATTTGAAATAACTGCATCTTGTAGATAATAGAAATACCTCCTTACCCTTGAAGCATTTCAAATCCGGGTCTTAATGATTTATTTGAAATTGCTGGCTTTAGTTAACATTTAGCTGACTCAGGAGGAAAAGCAAGGATTATTACAAATATGGTTTCCAGGAACAAGGAAAAAAATCCTTCCCTGTGAGCCATTACTTACATTTTTTGATATGATGTATTCCACGGTTCATAAACATAAATCTTTAGAGCATCGGTGCCCTAGACCCAAAGGATAATCTTCACAGGCTCCTTGTCACAGCCTGTTCATTGGGGCAGCATAAATTTCAATTGCTGTGCTCCACTGGCCATGTGATTATCACTATATGCTGAACTGACTCCCAGATACTGCCAAGTTTTATTCTAAATGAGACTTCGCTCAGAAAACTGGGAGGTCTGTGAGGCTGAAGAGTTGCTTCAGTGGCCATGGCCTCCAGTATGTCCTCTCATTGCTGGAAACACTGAGAAGGAGGCAATAGTTATGATGGTGGAAGAGGAGGGAAGTCCCAGAGCTGCACTGGCCAGGAAAGTAGTGCATCTTCAGGCTTCCTTCCCAATGGAAGAGTTCACTGAAGCTTCAGAAATATCTTCTCATTTAGCACTGTGGCAGAGGTTCTCTGGACTAGGGAGAGGACTGGATACTTTCTGGCCACTGTGAAGTAGGAGTCAGCAACTTCATGCTTGGAGGGTTGCAGTCACCAGTCAGCTTGGCTGCTGAAGAACCTGGCTATCCATCTGTAGGTGAATAGCCTTACTGGAAAAAGTATGTGTGAGCAGTCCTTTCTTGAAACTGATAGCCATAGTAGTCTCTCAATGTTAGAAAAGGTCAGAGATATAAACTCCTGTTCACTAATTATGCAATGTGCACAAGTATACATCTTAACACAATGTCAGTGAAATAGATTGTGGCATTGGTGTCCTTTATCCCACTATTCTAATGATCATCAGCCTTTTTCACCAACAAGCCAAGGAGTGCAAGTGGAAAGCTGTTGGTTATCACAGGGAGGAGAAAATACTGGGAATATACTAAGCTGAAGGGAGAAAAATCATGATGGCTGCATAGTCTTTTGCTGCCTTTGGGTTAACACAAGAGTATGAGAATACAAGAAGAGCCCTGATGGATCAGACTACCCTAGTTTGGCATTCAGTTGACAGTGATAATGTCCTCATGGCTGCCAGCAGGATATCACCATTTTTGGATGATTTTAACATTCCAAAGGACTCAATACCAACTGGGTCCACAGTGTGGCACTCCTGATTCCCCCCATCCCTCTTTTCAATTGCTTCACTGCAGAGGGATGCAGATATTTTGGCATTTGATAAAGTGGGTGAGGGGACAGTGTCACGCTGCAGGCCTGATCTTGATCAGGCCTTCATGACATTTTAAAATTGTCCTAAAGATGGTGATGGCATCCTCAAGGTGGCCACAAGGACACCATCTTATCTAACTTGGACCTTTGATGCCTCCTTGAAACCTACAACCTTGTGTCAGGTTGTACCTGACTCTCTGTCAGGTACTTCCTTGTGTCAGGCTGTACCTGACTCTCTCTCAGGTACTTCAATAACTCAGCATCAACAGCAGGTCCTTAAACAGGTTCAGCTTTATTGATCAGAGCAAGGTGAAGTCATCTTGGACTCTGAGTCAAGAATGAAGCATACAAAATGGCCATAGTAATTATAGTGGGTTCATACAATACCCCCTGACACCTAGGAACCAATAAGTAATTAATATGGAGCATGGGGAACTGGTTAATGGTTCATAGGTGAGCGGGAGACAGCAGAGGCTTTGCACTGAAACAATGAGCACTCAAGGCCAAGGGCGAGATAAGAGAGGCAGAAGCGAGAAACAGCTGCAGAGCATTACACATTCCAGAGTCAGGGAAAAACACCATGGCGGGGCTACCCGACACCTTGCTACATTTGCCTGATTTCCCTTCTTCACTGCAAACTCCTGTGCTGTGTGGCACTTGAGAGTTCCTGATCCACCAAAAGAGAGTTTTCAGGGTATAGAAGGGGCTTCTGTGGGAAGCAGAAAGTTAGAGAGGTAATTTTGCATAACCTTCTATTTGCGTAGTTTTGGGATGGACTTTTAATGCAATGTGCATTAAATGTGGACTATTAATTTAAAGGTTTTGTCTATCCTGATTTTCTTTGTGAACACAAAAGATGTTTTAAAGAAGCTTTTGTTTTGGCAAAACATACAACTTGATTTTGGATCCCCTAGCAACTTTTTTTTGTTTAGTAATGTTTAAAAATGAATCATTATTACACTCATTGTCTAAGATGACTTAAGATATGGAAGACCCAGGTGATCAATTAACTGCAGTTATCAGGTGAATAATATAAATGGCAAACCAATGTGAATCAAGACATAGTGACATATAATTGGATTAATGTTAAAAAAATAGGTATTCACTGGACTTATACATCAGATTTTTAAAATCATTATTGATAATAAATACCAGGTGCTATCAGGAGGTCCAGCAGTGAGGCCAGGACACTAGAAACCCTCCAACTGTTGCCCCCCCCAGCACCAGTATTGTTTCTTTTGTTATTATTTTATTTTCATAATTCTATTTTGTTATTATTTCCCAATTGGTTTCAATGGAAGACCCCACCCCCCAGGCCTGTACCTTCATCTGTTTGGGTTTTTTTAGAAATTGGAGAACACTTGGAGGTATTGTAGTACTCCCCTAGGAAACCCACAGTGCCATATTTCAGATAGATAGAAAAAATTGTCCCCTTTTTTGAAGAAATTGATTGTGCCCATGTTTAACATTAAAGTCTCTTGGAGAATTGATAGGAAATACTTCAAACAGTAACATAGACAGTTCTGTAGCCACTGAGTTTGAAGAACAGTAGCCTGAGGAGGAGGAGGAGGCAGACTGACAAGGCAGGCAAGTCATCAGGCCAGGTAGGCATCCGCAGGAGGGGTGTGCACAATTTTTATTACTAGACAGTGTGGGATTTATTTATTTTTGTATAATTTAAGAGCTGTACTTTGGTTACCCTTGGAACATTCATAAAACACAGAGTGAATTTTAGAAGGCAAACAGTCAACTTTTAGCAGGAATAACAAAATAAATTCTAAATTAATTGTAATTCTCAAAGAACTTCAACAGCTACCCATGGGGTAGTTGAAAAGCAAAAGAGTTTTGTCTAAGTAGAAGACAAGAATGTACTGGGGGGAAAACACACACAATCACAGCAAGCCACACATTTAAACATTTTATAAAGAAGACTAATCAATAAAGCAAATCAGATTAAGGTGGAGTTGAAAAAAAACAGGGTTCCACAGACTCAGAAGTGACAGGGGAAAGAATAAATTGAAAGAAGCAAGCCACAAATCAAATAACATTTAAAGCATTAAAGAATTAGCTGAAGGAAAGTAAGCCTCCTCCCCTAAAAAACACCCAGTAAATTGTTTCAGAAAAATTCAGAGAACACAAGACATGGAGAACAGAAATTATGTTCAAGAACCACACTTCAGTAAGTGACATCATCATATGTTTGATCCAGAGTTCCACCCCATATCCTTTAGAATTGGAACTCCTCACACATGTATGCAATCCTAGAAACTACAGCTTGCACTCAGTCAATCAAAAAAACCCCAGAGGCTCTCTTCATCTTCCCCACACACAGCACAACTTTCCATGCATTCATTAGGAAAATATGTTGTCAAACGCTTTCACAGTTCATTCGTTGTTGTAGATTTTACGGGCTATATGGCCGTGGTCTTGGCATTGTAGTATCTGAGGTTTCACCAGCAGCTGTGACTGGCATCCTCAGAGGTATAACACAGAAAGATGGAGTACTCTCTGTGTCAATGTGAGAAGAAAAATGGTAGGCAGGGGATTTATATCTACTCAGGCAGGTGGGGTAGGGCTGAGTCATTATCTTGTAGGAGTTACCCAGGCTGTGACATGCTAATGGAGGAGAATTCATGAGGAGGTTCTTTTGCATATGGATTGGCTGTTGAAAGCCCTCAGTAGTTGTTGCTAGGCAACCACAACATTCTAGGCTTGGTTTCTGTCAGTGAAAGGTAAGGGAGGGAGCAGGGCCTTTTCCAGGGCTGTTTTGGCCTTTGAGGGAAGAATAATCAGGGCCAAGCCTGTCAGCAGCCACTAAGTGATTTGATACCACCCAAACTGCATGAGGATCTTCACTGATAAAACACTATATGGCAAGTTGTGAATATTTTTCATCTTTTTAAATTCAGCTTGATATCTCTCAGAGACACAACTTTAAAAAGACATGCAGTTTTTCATTTAAAACATATACTTATAGTCCCTGCCTTGCTGGCTAGTTCCTTTCCTGTGATCAGCATGATATTTGAAAATGCTGCAAGCCATTGCTGCTGTGGTAGATTAGTTTCACAGCTTTCCAGCTGATGATTCATGAAGATCTGGAAACATCCTCACTGCCACATCGAAAAGATGAAGCCAGGTAGTCAACCTGCTCACATATCTGAATGGGAAAGTGTCTCTCTGAAGTAGAAATTGGAATAGGGAACACTGGGATTGCAGGGGTAGAGAACTATTGAATTTACAAATGAACCGTCATAGCCATTCAAGGAATCACAGGACAGAAGAACTGCTTGACACAGGGGAACCATGAGTCTACTTCTGGAAGACTGCTATTCTTTTTAATAAATTTCATATGTTTGGTTTTTGAACTGCAAATTTATTTCTTCTCCTTCTGTGGAGACCTCCTCCTCCACTCTGAGTTTTTAAAGTGTTCCTGGTTTTCCCCCCTTCTCTCTAGAAGGGCAGGAAGCAAGGTCAATTAATTGCCATAGTTATGTAAATGGACTGACTTGCAAAGGAACTGAGGGATTTGGTGTCAGGAATCTCCAGGTGACTCCTGGAGATTTCCCAGAATGCCTACAAGGAGGTCTCCCAGAATGCACCTGGGTGGCCCAGGGTCCACTTGGGTGACCTGGGTGGACCAGGTCAAAGGGGGTGGAGAGTATGATGTAGAATGGGTTTGATAAAAGTGCTTGCTCCCAAGAGGGAGGACCTCTTGGCTCTTTGTCTCTTGGTGCTGATCTTTGGAAAAGAACAGACTGTGGAGTTCTGTTCTGCAGGCCAGGAACAATCAGCCATGTGGCCTGGCCTGCTGGCTGCAGAGAGCCTGAGGTAATGAGAGACCTTTAGAACCTTTTGTAACTTTCTAAGCTTGAGATTGCCTACTCTATTTCAACATCTAGTAGAGTAGGTTTTAGAACCAGGGACAGAGGATACAATTATGACCAACTTTCCTTTGTCGTTCTGGTTGCTGATCTGATGCTGTATGCTTCTAAACTTTTCCTCTGTTTAATAAATATTTTACTTTTTGAAGCTGGTAGTGTTCGCTGGACCACATAGATGCCCCAACTGCCTTAGACCATGCTACTGTAAGAGGGGAGTCCCAGGAGGGGGGAAGGCAAGCAGTCAAGGCATCTTTTACTAATCCTCCAGGGGGCCCCCAAACAAGGATTTTGGTCCCTGTGGTAAGGAGGAGCTGGGAAGCAGGAGACCAGAGGCAGGGCCTCAGTTTTAGAAGGGGTGTCAGGAGCCTGTCCAGGCCTGTATCCAGGATTTTTTCATTCGGGGGCCTTTAAATAAGTCGAGGGGCACTCTCAAACACCCCAAGCAAGCGCCATAAATAAAATTTAAAAAATGAAAGTTGGGGGGCCTGGGCTGGCTGGGGGGGCCTTGGTGGTAAGTCGGGGGCAGGCCATGAGAGGCCCCACTGTAGCTATGTGCCTGAGCCTGTCGCTCCTGGGGCAGGAAGACCCCAAAAGGACAGTGGTAGCAGTGGTACCCTAGTTGAAAGAAGTGGAATAGCACCCTCCACAAACTGGTGCAAGTCAAGGAGGGGGCTGGCAGAACAGGGTCTGTAAGTCAGAGTAGGCCTGTTCCGCCACACCTTCATTTAACTTCTTGTCCGTTCAACACTTGAGTAGTTTGAAGGTGGTTAATCCCCTCAATCTTGCCAACATTTTCTTGGCTTCTGGTTTCTGTCCTTTTATATTTCAAATCTGGGAATATTATACTTGGATTTAATGTATGAAGTGCTGCCATTATGTCCTAAGGCACTAAAACCAGAAATGAAGAATTAGAATTCAATCATAAGAAATATTATTTGGTTTATGCTTCTGTCAGTTGACAGTCAAAGGAATAAGCCTGTTATCTGCAAATTCCTCTTAACATAAAACAAAGGGTGGTTTCGTATGTGTGACTGATGAGGGTACATGTAACGTCTCCCTGCACTCAGAAATGCCCATAGAAGAGAACTGTGTGCTTCAAAAGAGGATACATGCTCTTTTCATGTTTGTATCACATGTTAAAGGGCTCAGAGTTTCCACACAGCTCTACTTCTACCAATTCAAGTTGAAAATCCTCCCAGTGCTCTATTCAGTGCTACAGTTTTTAAACTCTGATGCTCTAAATAGTTTGAGATATATAAAATTAAGACAGCAACCCTTTTGGTGACCCACTGTGTTTCTGAATTTGACTGGATTCCCTTTGAAAGGTATCCACCATGCCTCATGTTCTAAAGGCAGTGAAAGGTAGACAGAGCCTATCCTCAGCTACCAAGGCCTCATTCTTCCATTCATAAAAGTCCAAGCATAGGAATACATGGCATAAGTTCCCAGTGCTCTATTCAGTGCTACTGTTTTTAAACTGTGATGCTCTAAATAGTTTGAGATATATACAATTAAGACAGCAACCCTTTTGGTGGCCCACTGTGTTTCTGAATTTGATTGGATTCCTTTTGAAAGGTATCCACCATGCCTCATGTTCTAAAGGCAGTGAAAGGTAGACCAAGCCTATCCTCAGCTACCAAGGCCTCGTTCTTCCATTCATATAAGTCCAAGCATAGGAATACATGGCATAAGCATAATCATGCTTTTGTGCCTTTGGTAACCAATGGTTTTTTTAAGAAATGGGATAGTTTTGACATTGAATTTGGATTTTTATGTAAACATTGTTTTTTGAAAAAAATTGTAACCTGCTTTGATTCTTGAGGACATAGTGAGATGTGCATTAAAATATTCACATAATGTGATGGGAAATCACAAGTAAAAAAAACATTTCCAACCAATTAGAAACATAAAAAATGGAAATGCATTACAGTTCTAACTAATTAGTGCTTATTTGGTCCTGAAGATAAGGCTTCTATGTCCATAAAACAATTATGTGCAATTTCTGTTCTGCATCCCTATGCATTACCTTTGCAGTGGTTTTCATCCCATGGATATACACAGTTCTGGAGTCCATTGCAGACCAATGTATTATTAATACACATATTACTATGGCAAAAGAATGTGTTGGCTTCACAGGGAGCTAAAAAAAAGCAAACAACAACATTCATCAACATTAAGCAGTGCATTTTTTCCTCACCAATAGAAAATACTACTACTACTACTACTACTACTACTACTACTACTACTACTACTACTACTACTACTACTACTACTACTACTACTACTACTACTACTACTACTACTACTACTACTACTACTACTACTACTACTACTACTACTACTACTACTACTACTACTACTACTACTACTACTACTACTACTACTACTACTACTACTACTACTACTACTACTACTACTACTACTACTACTACTACTACTACTACTACTACTACTACTACTACTACTACTACTACTACTACTACTACTACTACTACTACTACTACTACTACTACTACTACTACTACTACTACTACTACTACTACTACTACTACTACTACTACTACTACTACTACTACTACTACTACTACTACTACTACTACTACTACTACTACTACTACTACTACTACTACTACTACTACTACTACTACTACTACTACTACTACTACTACTACTACTACTACTACTACTACTACTACTACTACTACTACTACTACTACTACTACTACTACTACTACTACAAATGCCCCGGCAGGGAGGGAGGGCTAAAATCTAATAAATAAATAAATAAATAATTCAATGAACAGTCATGCAAAGTCACTTGAATTTTGTAACTTTTATTTCTTTAATGTATGTAGACTGAGGAGGGGAAAGGGTTAAAAGTATTTACATAATACTAGCGAAATCTCAGAAAACAGAAAGGAACTGAAAAGGATTTGGGGCTGAACTCCATGTTGAATACTGTAGTTCTTGCTTCTCCTTGTGTCATGAATAAGCATGAAATGAAACTCAAAAAAAAACAAATATATACAAGTTTGCTTAATGTGCATCACTAATGTAAGTTGCAGAATTCAGCTTTTCTTGATACAGAGTTTAGAATCCTTTCATGTACAGTTTTTTTCCCTGGGTTTTTTTTAGGGAGAGGGGTGTGTATTATAGCCAATCCTAAGAGAAGGATAAACTGCTCAGGCAAAACAGGGTCATTATGCAGCTACTAAATCACAAAAGCTCAGAGATGCAGTAATAAAAGCAATCCATTCAATGTTTAGTGGCCAGGCTTTGTCATGTGGAACTCCATATCAGACTAGAGGACTAGAGTAGAAGCCCTGGCTCTAATCCTGCATCATTAAACCTGCTCATGTGTTTAGTATTTCCGTAATCAGGGAGAACTTTGTTCTCATACTTCTTTAATTTAGTTAATACAAGAAACATTAACACACAAATATTTACACCATAGCTTCCTTCTAGGACTATGTTATATGAAGTGCAAACACTCATGCAATAATATATCATTGTGGGCCAGCCCAAACACAGATCCAACTGAATACAGCCTATAATGCAGTGAGAGAATGGGATCCAATGTCTCTTCTAAGTTCCACAGTGTTGTGACCAGAAATTCTACCTCACGAGTAAAAAATTGTGAGCATGTCTACATTTGACTCCTGCATAATTTTTAGAAGAGTATTTCTATAACCTTGTAAAAATTTCAGAATGAATTCTTAAATATTTAAACTGTATTTTAAGAATAATTTAAACATTACATGAGAAAACAGAATCAAGTCAAATTTCATTACACAAAATGTTGTCCTCTATGGGGGTAGACCAGGCCTCTGGAGAACAGGTCTACCCAC